TTTGATTTTGGTTTTGCAAGCAGAAGACCAGACGACTCAGGCACTTTGACGGTTTTGTTCATGCATGATCGCCAGACCAAGATGATGCGTGCTGTACCAACGCCTTCGAAAGGCGGGAAGGACCTGCCCTATTTGACCTCAGAATGGTGCAGATTTGTTACTTGGCTTGGATACACTACAGTTGGACTGAGATGTGATGCTGGGCCAAGTACGTTGTCTCTTCTTGAGGCGACTAAGAAAGCACTTCGTGGACTTGGAGTTCACACCACAGTTGAGACGATTACGCCTGGCAACTCGCAAGGCAATGGGGCAGCAGAAATAACTGCGCAGGTTCTCAGGAACCAAGCAAACCTGGAGGATGGATGCAAGGCTGGTAGTGAAATCATTTCAGCGCACCACCCGATGTACAGTTGGGCCATGATTCATTCAGGATGGCTACACAACCGTTTTGCCGTTTCCCAAAAAAACACCCTATGAGCGCTGCACTGGTCGCCAGTATACAGGCAAGCTTTGCATGTTCGGCGAGCAAGTCATGAGATACCTGAAGCCGTCTGCAAAAGGCCTCCCTTCCTGGCAACGCGGTATTTGGTTAGGCAAGACACTCATGGGTGACTCACACCGTTTCCACCAACACGGGATTGTTTGGCACACGTTCTGTTAGGAGATTGCCCACACCCTGGTAAGTTGAAATTGCACCTTGGGAATGCGCTTTTGCAACTCTGGGCAATAAGCTTGCAGTGCCTAAAAGGGTCATGCCACCGATTGCAGAGGCAGTGCCAGCACTGCCAGGGATTGGAGTTGGACTTCAATCTGGAATTCCATTTACACCTGATGAGGCGGCAGAGGACCCAGTCACGCCCATGCCACTCAATTTGCCAGCAACTCCATTTTCAGATGTTTCAATTTCTGGACAGGCGGGGTCATCAGACAGACCACGCAATTTGCCACCGCCACCGACAGCAGCAGTTGCAGGCCTGGCCAGTCCTGTTGTTTTGACTTCTGCACCTTCAGCACCTGTCATGTTGCCGGGAGTCCCAACAATCCCCATGGAATTGCTTGATGAACCGCAGCTGAGTGGTGATGAGTCACCAAGCAAGAGGCAGAGAATTGCAGCTTTGATTGATGGTGAATTCTTTGATCATGAAGATGATCATCACTGTTTGGAATTTTTGGTGAAGAACTGGATGCTCTTGAGGCATATGATGAGGCTTTGAACGACGGCGAGTCTTGTGATGACGCAATTGGGAATATGGATGAGTTGATGGATCAGCTCAGTTTTCCTTACACACCTCAGGAACCAGAGCTCACTGCAGAAGAGCTTGATCAGCTAGACAGGCTCGCGGAAGCAGTTGAGGTTGCACGTCTTCGAGACACGGGAGTTCTTTTACCCCTTGGCGATGCAGATGTTTCCCAGGTGAAGTACCTGACAACGAGATTCGGACAGACTTGGCGAGACGAAGTTCGTAAGAACAGACGCGTTTGGTTGCGTAGGGCGCGCTACGTAGCAAGAGAGTTCGCTTGGCTTACGCCTGAACGTCAAGATGTATTTTCACCTGCGTCTTCCAACATCACCAATCGTTTGCTCCCCGCACTTTTCCTACACTGGAAAAAGGAACACCCGAACGAGCGATATGTTTTGGCATCGATTGATATCAATGACGCCTTTTTGACAGTCACACAACGCGAGGCAACCGTTGTGACGCATGGCAACGAGCAGTACCTGCTTGGACGAGTTTTGCCCGGACAGCGAGATGGTTCACAGCAATGGTTTGACAGCATGATAGCTTTTCTCAAATCTGAACTTGACTTTGAGGAGTGCAGAGCTTATCCGTGTTTGCTTCGTTCCACAACATGCAAATGTGTGATTCTTATCCATGTGGATGATTTGCTTGCAGCAGCTTCGGATGATTATTTCGAGAATGTTCTCAAAGCCAAACTGACTTCGAAGTATAAGCTTTCATGCCAAGTCATTCGGAATGTTGGAGATTCCCTGGAGTTTCTTAAGAGAAACCATGAGCTTGTTGAAGATGGTGTTCTCCATATTCACAAGAAGCAGTTACACTTTGACAGATTGTTTGAGACGGTCGGGATGTCCACTTCTTTGAGCCCCAAGAAGGTTCCCTGTCACCCTTTGATGAGTGAGAATGACGACACCCCTGACTTACCACCAGCGCAAATTTCGAAGTTCCAAACGGCGATCGGAATCCTTTTGTATCTGGCAAATGACATGCCGGAATGCGCTTATACGATCAGAGGCAAGAAAATGAGCCGGCCTACCACGCGTAGCTGGGCAATGTTACGACACTTGGCCCAGTATCTCTTGCATGGACGGAAGTACTACTTGAGATTGGAAATTCAGGCAGACGGACTGTGGCATTCGCCAGCCACAGAAGACGGCACCTTCTACCTTGAGCTGTTCTCAGACTCCGACTGGGCAGCTGACAAGGACAATAGGCACTGGGTGTCGGCAAGTGTGATCTGCTTCAGATGCATTTTTCTTTCGGCCACGAGCAGGTCACAAAGGTGCGTGTCCCTTTCTTCAGCAGAAGCAGAAGTGTACGCAGCAGTATCATGTTGCTGCGATGGAGTATTTTTGAAACACTGTTTGCATTTTGCTTTGCAAATTCCTGTGCAGATGAAGCTGTGCATTGACAACTCCGCAGCACTGCGGATCCTCCTACGTGCAGGCGTTGGACGTGTTCGGCACATGAGTTGCAGGATTCTTTGGATCCAGCAATGCGCGAAACAGAAGTTGCTTGAAGTGGTCAAGATTCCCACCAAAGAGAACGTTTCTGACCTGTGCACCAAGCGTTTAGCTAAAGACAGAATGGGGTTTTTGCTTTGCAAGCTTGGCGTGTTTGACACGGCATCTGATGAGCTGGTCGGATCGCACACCATGGCTCAAATCCGACACCATGAAGATTTTGTGCATAGTTTGCGACTATTGCGAGAGACCCTTGGACAACGCTCGGATCATTCGACCAATATGCTCGCGAAGAATGCTTTGCAATGCATGATCCTTGCCTCAATGGCCACCGGAACGAACGCCTTGGGTCGTGATGGCTATGAGAGCCCAATTGAGAAGGATGAGTATTTCTTGGACACTTTGATGTTCATGACTCTTGCGGTATATGTTTTCTTTTCTGGAATGTATTTCATGATGAGATTTGCATTGTGGTTTCATGGATATTTTCACTGGAAGAAGATAGATGCAGTGGACACAGATGATGTCCCACCAATTTTCGATTTGCGTGTATGAAGCGCAAAGCAGCAAAGAAGAAGTGTGATGAGACTTTCACTGACAAGCCTGGACGCTTTCCTGATATTTACATCACAGTGAGAGGCAACCGATACCATGATGGTTCGTGTGGTCACATTTCGGGACACACGACCACCGTTGCATAGACCGCTGAAAGCGATCATGCAAAGGCGGGGTGAAGATAATTTAGCACTTACCGTGTGACCGCGTACATAGTGTTTTTTATCACTTGGTAACACGCTTTTGGTTGCATGCTTTGTACACTTGCATGTGCAGTTTGGATCTCGGCCTTATGGCTATGATCAAGTGAAGTATATGCACCCGTCAGCTGAAAACTCTTGCCACTCCAAAGCCATTCATGGCCCCTCCTCGCTTCCTGGGAAATTTGTTTCAGCAGCTCGCCTCTGTTGGGCCTGGCTTCCTTTGTCTCCAACTTTGGCAGGGGAACCTTCAACCACTCCCGACCCCGCGCGAGGAGAAACAAATTCAACTTCCATCCTTTGTCATCAACCCAGCTTACAATGCCCTCTCTGTACGGCGCTACTCGGGCTCGCACGAATCCGCTGCCGCGTTTGCTTGCCTTGTTGTGTGTCAAGGCCTCAAGCTGCATGTGGCTCTTGAAGCCACACAGCCAGTAAACTGCTGCACCTGCTTCCAAATATCCCATGTTTGCACATTCTGCACAGCCCTGCGCACCGAATTCCAAGCTGGTTCTGTGCAGCGTCACAAAAGCCCTGGGGAGTGTTTGCTCAGCACCACCTGCAAGCAAGCCAGGGATTGCGCCGACAGCGTGCCCTTTGCCACAGCCCAGTTCTCAGTCTGCAGAGTCTTGTCGTGTGTTATCAAGCAACAAGCAAACAGCCGGCAGGCAAGGACTTGGAGCCCTTTGCGGCGCTTTGCTTGCAGCAAGACCTTCCAGGACATGGCCCACGCTCTGCGACTTCCAGCTTCTGCGTGCTCTTCAATCCACGCAAAATTGAGCGAGTCGCACCTTGCAATTGAATTCCTGCCCCAGCCATTTGTTCTTGCAATGCTGAGGCGCCAAGAGCTTCTCCGTGTGGTCTGCCATGGCCAACATGGCCCCACATTGCTGCTACTACAAACTTCGGTACACCCTGAATCCTTTGCATGCTTCGCTTGCTTTTTGTGCCTGGGCTGCTTCAAAAGGAAAAAGCCAGACTTCTTCAAGCTGATCTGGCAACCTCTGCCCTCCGGACCGGCACACGTCTGCGCTGCCCTTTCTGCAGAGGCTCTCAGAAGCGCAACTTGCGCAATAGTCCACTGCTCAGGCCAAGCGTTTGCCGCACAAAAGTCAATCCATCAATCGCCTCTGATAATTGCTTCAGAAATTGGAAGATGCAGCCTTCAATGTTTGGTTCACAACTTCTCGGATCTGCATCTTTTTTGGCTTCCGGCCTGCCTTGAAGCAGGTTGTAGGTTGGGGTGGGGTAGGTGGGGCGGGGTAGGTGGAGGTGGGATAGGTGGGTGCGCAGTTTTGAACACCACCTTCTCTGGGTCCAGCTGCAGTAGGTGGGGTTGGTGGGTAGGTGGGGATGGAATAAGTAAGGCAAGTGGGGTGGGTGGTAGGGTGGGGTAGGGTGGGGTAGGTAGGCGGGTGGCCTGATGGAGGGGCTAGGCGTGTGGGACGGTGCATTGCGCATCTTGAATGGAAAGGGGGCTGGCTCTCTGGTTTGCGCCTGGCCAGCTGGCCAGCAGCTGGCGATGCTTCAAATGCACTCAGGTGCATTCACCGCTTTGGCGGGTCCACCTCCGTCGAGAACCCGTGGCCTGAAGAAAGTTCCCTGGAGAAGGGCAGTCTGGATATCAGGCGCGGATGCGAGAGCTCATCCAAAGCCATGAGAGCCCTCCCCCAACTGGATTGGACACATGTTGGATGCCTTCTTTCAACAGAGGTTGACTCGATGGCTGTCAGTGGTTTGAGGTGTGTGAGTTGCATTCAACTGCTTTATCAAACTGCGAACTTGACGGTCCTGACGCAACTGGCTTGCCTAGGTTTTTGCCGCGCGGTTCCCCGACAAAACCTACCAGACAAGAAAACAACAACCTGCCGTTGTTCTTTGACGGCCAACAGGCCACTATGTTATTGTGTGGCCACGTTTGTTGACCAGTGGGCACAGCATTGTGCGGATGTGACAGCCTTTGCACTGCAATCCCTTGCGAGCTGATGCCGGTCTGACTTTGTGGGCGTGAAAGCACGAGGGGAGGAGGTCTACGTAGCCGTTGGACGTGTTTGCACTGGTTTCGCACAGGGTCGATGAACATTACAAGCCGGTACTATTTGTGTTTTTCTCTTGTTCGCGCTCTCTCTCTCTCTCTCTCTCTTTCTCTCTCTCTTTCTCGCTCTCTCTCTCTCTCTCTTTCTCTCTCGCGCTCTCTCTTTCTTTCTCTCTCTCTCTCTCACTTCTCTGTATCTTTATATTTATCTGCCTCTCGTGTTATCTATTGATATAATATGTATAGAGACAATTATTTATCGTTGTCTTGTTCCCATCTGTCTATCTAATCTGTTTGTTTGTTTGCTTGCTTGTTTGTCTGGCTGTCTGTCTGTCTATCTATCTATGCACCTGTGCAAAAAGTAGAATGTCTGATGTTGCATTTCAGCTTTAAAGTGGGATTCTGATGGGATTCGTTCCTTCTTGGCTTTCCTTTCATTCACGGTGATAATGTTGAGCAGAGTTTGATAAAGATACTAAGTATACTTCAGAAGGAAATGTTTCAGAGGTCCACAAGTCCACAAATCGTGTTTTTTTGCCTAGCCCCCAGTACTATCAAGGTCAATGGTCAGAAAACACAGTAAACCGGAGCTCTCTGAAGTTGATAATGTGAATGCAATTTGAACAGGACTCAAGAAGGATATACTTGTTTCGAACCTTATTGGGATTTTGTTTATCCTAGATTTGAACTTGAGGATAAATATTCACAATCCATTTAGAGCTTAGACAAAGTTTGACAAGGACATCATCCAGTCGGAATGTCTATTTTCAATTAGAGTTTAACAAGAGTTGTTATATATGTCAAATTAGAATGTACACAGGCTGTCCTTTCCAATAGGTGCTTCTTTATGAAGCAGTTATCATGCAAACACGAAACATTCAACCAATAGTTCAACTCGGTGAACTTGAGATTGGAGCTTCAAATGAGAAATCCGTTCAACAAAAGCAAATGCACTGGATCTGCCCAAAACCGAAACCGGAAAAGACTTGAAAGCCAAACAACAAAACACAAAAACACATTCTCCCAGAACTCTTGGCACAGTGAGTGGCTACCTCTTGAAACGGCATCCGAGGACTGGTTTTTGTGTTGTTTGTTTTTGTTGTTTTGTTTGTTTGCGAGGTGGTTTGGGTTTTGGCTTTGGGCAGGGCTGATCCAGTTGAAAGACTGTCTGAGGAGTGGTTTCTCGAGTTTATGTGTTTTTTTGGCACCCAGAAACGCATTAGAACAACAACACAGACTGCAGGTGTAGAACAACAGACTAGACTGCGTGCACACATCCTGCAATTTACACAAATCTAACAGCTTAAACATGCACTGACTGCCACAGCCCCCTGTTCTCTTTTGATTTGGGTCTGTGTTTTTGTTTGGGTACCCTGTTTGAGGTGCCAAAGGGAAACCACGCATGTTTGGGTTTCCCCCATTTTGAGACAGACCTTTTGGGCTGATAGGCTCAAACGCTTGGAGAAGCTGGTGGTGAGGGCGACAAAGAACATGATGAAGGGTATGGATGGAGGATCAATTGGATCCGGAACGGGATCTTCTGCAGCTTCCTCGTTCGCCTCCGGAGCATCATCAGGCTCTAGTATGAACGAATCTGCCTGAACAGATGCTTTTTTTAGTGCAGGTGCGAGCAAAAGGCGCATGCAACGCAAGAGGCTCGTGAACCCCGAAGGCTGCGAAGGCCGATTGTTTTCCATGGCTCTTGCGGCAACGCCGTGTCGCAGCGTGCCGCCATCACGGCATCTTTAGAGACGCGCAAGTGGCGCTCTTCTACACTGGCCGACTTGTCTGGACTTGAAGCTAATGCCGTCAGAGCCATCCCCTTTCACAATGGGAGATCGGTTGAGATCGGGCGCAGGCATACTAAATTATGTTAGGGAGCAAGGTCTGCCGATAGCTTGTCTGTTGAAATCAAGACCGAGGCAACTCAGAAGGCATCAAGTCCAGCCATTGCGATCCATGACTCACGCCTTAACTGTGGCTCCCCCGCGGCGTCTTGCAAAGCAAGTGGCCGCCAGAATTCAAAGCAGTTCCGACGTGTTTCACATTTCCGGGTGGTGCGCTGCGTGCGGCACATTGGGGTAGATTGACTTGGGTGGCAAAATCATGTGACAACAAGTTCCCGCGAGGATCGGTCTCTGGAGCCGCCAAAGGTGCGTGCAGGAAGGCCATCAATGCCACATCTTTGAGCGTGTGCAAGGCTGTGCGTAGACATGGTTGCCATGCCGTAAGATTTCTTAGCTGGCTTGGCTGCCGGAGAGCTGTTCTATTCATATTCTATTCCTTTGCCTGGGACATGCCATGCAGATGCTCATGGATGCTCTGAAAGCGAGTGTAAATGCTTTGCCGATTGCATGCCCCCGTTTCGAATAAAATTGCTACGCGCAGGTGCACAGAGCATGCTCTTGGATGATGCTTTGCTGGTTGATTCCGATAGAATACGCCCAATCAACCAGCAAATTTATCCCGAGTTACAAGGGTTGCGCTCGAGTTGCTGGCTTGCGACTGCGCGCCCAAGGAGACTTGTCATAAGAATCCTGGCTCAACCAGCTTTGATTCCCTGCAGAACTGTCACACAATGGCATCAAGGCCTTGGCGGTTTGGCAACGGATCTTTGGACTTGAACTTTTTGGTTGAAACAGCTGACAGATTTTCCGAACAGGACCCACCGATAGGGTGAAGAACAGATCTTTCGCAGAGGGGTCCTTTCAGCCAGCAGGTGTTTGAATGTAGAAAGGTGTTGTTCCTTCCATCTGGCTGTGGGTCAAAATTAAACCACCAGGATATGGACCGCAGGTCTTAGTCCATTCCTTCTACCAGGGCTTGCCCCATTTTGGGGTTACCCTATTTTTGACGCCCACAGCGATCTGTTTGAAGGTTTCGACCCCGAGCCCCAAAGCTTCCCAGAATTAGCTCCCCTTTTTCCTCTTTTTCACGCTTTTTTGTGGGAAACCCTCTTGTTTTCCACTCACCCAGGCAAACAAAATGCAGAGCACTCACCAGGCCAAAAAATAATGTTTTCCACTCACCAAGCAAAACAAAATGCCACAAACAAACAAACAGTTTTTGCTGGGGTCCCCTTCTTCCAGCCTCGGAAACATGGCCTTGGGGGCACGCGGGGTTTTCAGCTGTCGCCCGACTCGACGCCATGGGAGACTTCGCCGCGGCCGCGGTGGCGGCGGTGCTCACAGCGGTGGTGGTGCTGGGCTCCATGTTTTGGCTCACCCGCCTGGTGCAGCGGCTGGGTGAAAATTGGTTTGAACAAATTGCCAGGTGCCCCAGCTAGGTGCCCTTTTACATTGTTGTTTTTTTGGGGGGGGGGAGGGGCGGTTTCCCTACTAGAATAGACTAACCGAACAAGTTGGCACCCTTCTTCCAACCTCTCTACTCGCGCCAAAAAGGCCCGGAAGTTTTGAGAAATACCCCAAGGGTAAGGCAAAGGGGATGGGAATTGGACACGTTCTTTTCTTTCCCGCTCAAAAAGGTGTGGGGTTGCAATTCGACAGACAGCTGTGGCAGACAGGAACTGACAGTCCGCTGTGACAGGTTTCGGACTGACAGTCCGGAACCTGAGGCTCGCCGGTGGCCGGACCAGGACAGTTGGCCGGAGCATAGGCGTGACAGGCCGACCTGAGGCTCGCCCTGGTGTCGTGATGACCGCCCGCGGTTGAATGTATGACAGCCGTGACAGACAAATTTGTGCCCGTCAAGGTAGATAGCTGGGCCGCAGTCTCTGCCAGCTTAAGGCGCTCGAGAAGATTTTGTGACATTGTTCATTCAAAGGCTGAGGCTTGCTTTGCCTCGCTCACGGCAGGTTTGGGCAACATCCTATCCTCACCCAACTGGGACACATCGTCGACCGTAGCTGCGGCAGACAGGAACCAACAGCCGTAGCCATAATCCAAAGCCTGAGGTCCCGCCAGTCCCCTTACTGAATCAGAGTTCGCCTGTCTCGCGCTGAGGGAGCGCTGCCCCCCTTAGACCACCATGTTTCGGGCAAATTTGTACGAGGCCTTGCCCGTATGCCGTACCTGCTACGCTTTGCCTGGACCAATGCCGACGTTTTGGATCCATTGATGTTGGATGACAGCGGTGCAATCAACATATTTGCATGGCTTTGCGGGAACTGGCCTGCAAACCTACACTGCTTGCCGTGCACAATGTTGTTGTTGGTTTTTGCGTGTGTTTGTGTACCTTTTCTGCTGGCCTCATTGAGCCTTTGCTGGAGCTAGTGGCTTTTTTCCGCTGGCAATAAAACATTATAAAACTAAGCATGCAGATGCAGGCATACCTTCAAGGACCTGCTGTATGGGTCTGAAGGGTGCGTGTGGCCATTTGCCTTGAAACCATTGCAATCTTTCCTTCGCTTTGCTAGCGTCTCGTGCCTTCCGAGCAACTATTGTTTGACCAATGCCCGGCATTTTGTGCGCAACAATGGGTGACGAAGGGGATTTGTGAAAACACATTCATTTCAGCAAATGGAATTCTTGGTGAAGGCGCACTTCCATGTTTGATGGGTACCCCACTTCTTGGTGGAAGGGCCCCTGCGAAAAGGGAAGATGCCAGGAACCTCCAATCCGGTTCCATCTCCGGAGCACAACCCCAAACGAAATCCAACCAACAAACTCTTATCCGACGGAAACACTTTGCACTTAAAAATGAAAACAACAATAAACACCCTAATCATGGGAAACTGAACCCATACATCTGGCAAGTCGGTGAAAGGCTAGACTGGTTTCGAACCCGTTGCACAATGCCCAGTGCATGTTTTGCTGCCCGTTTAGGCTTGTTCATGTTGACATTCCTGGTTCTCAAGTTTTGGGGGGCCCACGGACGAAACCTGTTAAGATGACTTGCCAAAGGCAGCATTGGCTTTTTGCAAAACAGTTCCAGTTGTCAGTCCAAGCTACACGTCTGCCTCAGGCAACAGAGCCTTGCAGCACACGCGCCGAAGGCGCTATGGGGCGGCTTCGGGCACTGTGACCCTGGAAGCAAGCAACATGAAAGCAAGCATTCGGAGAGGTCATCAATTTAGACACCTGCATGCTAGAGTCGAAACACCTGCTTATGAGGAGTCGCACGGCCAGTCGCAAGCCCTGAGCTTTTTGTGCTTCTGAGCATTCCTAGCAATGAGCAAAGCCCTCACGCATCGTGATGAGCGCACCTATGCTGCGGGGATGCATCACTGCATCATGCTGTTGTTTCCCGAAAGTGTTTCATGATGTGGCGGGGAGACCATCAGCTGAGCCAGTGGACCGGACGAAGCTTTTGGCCTTTTGGCTTGGCAGGCTTTTCCCCGAAGCGTCCACCTATGTGGCCTTTTGCAACAAAGGGGGAACAACCCGAGCTGATGCCATTTTTGCTCGTTGCCAAGGCCAGCAAAGTCCATAGCAAAGCAGCGGCATTGCTGACTGCAGCTGCCAATGGAGACACGCAGACGCCGCTGGGTGGTTTTGCCGGACAGACGCACTCTGCGGATGCTTTGTCATGACTCATTTTGAGAAAGCAGGTCGAATTTGCAAGAAAGGTGCCAAACTTATTCCATGAGGCTGTTTTTTTTAACAGAACTATTAGGGTGGGCCATGTGCACAGGCCGATGACTCGGGGTGACTGGATTGCTTTGCTCCATGTGCTTTTGCTGCATGGACCAACGGTGGGGGCCACAGGCCTTGGCCGTGTGACTAGCACAACTGGGTTCTTGACTGCTGGGTTGGATCTTTAGACTTTAACTTTTTGGTTGAAATCAAGAGGGGTTTTCCACTAACCCACAAAAAGTTGAAGTTTGTGCAGAGGGGTCAACACCAACCAAGGTTGCCGCTTTCCAGCATTCAATGACAGCAAGCGCGAGTTGCCCTTCAATTGCTGGGAAGTGTAAGCGGGAAGCACCTTGTGAGCTGAGGCACCTGGTCCCAAGAAAGGTGCTGAGTTTGACTCTTGGCTCAGGGGGCTCAGGGGGAGTTTGGGTGAAAGTCAACGATTCACAGCACACTCGACATGGGCGCTACGGATTTATGATTGCTCGACATGGGCGTGAATTTGGAGGGGCACAGTATTTGCCTCTTCAGACAGCGCCAGCGGACTGCGGGGAGGTTTTCCTAGACTCGCACGTGCTCCATCCAAACTTGGGTTGAGCCGCAGACCTGAATATGTGGGGATCTATCAATCCCTCAATCCATGGCACCTTCCATCAATGCGGGTGGGGTTTTGGGCAGGAACTGATGGGCCCGCACATGCCAGGTGCCGTGAGGAGCTGTCGCTGAGACCCGAGCTGCGAGAGGCTTGCAACAGCAGGGGTGGGAGCCCCAGGGCGAGCGTTTGTCTCCCACTTCCAATTCGGTGCAACCTGGCCATGTGGAACGCTTTTCATACTGTGGATGGACGAAATCCTGCACCACTTGGAAACCATGGGAAACATTGGCAAACCATTGTTTGCTGGCATTTACAGGGGAATAATCATTCTAGGGTTTCTCACATGGTGCAAGTTTTTGTCCATCCAAAGTAGGGCCTTTGGGGGGAGACCCATTCTTGTACTGGATAAAGAGACCCTAGGGGCCCCGCCTTGAAGCCCTGGCCTCGACTTGCCGCAACCTCCAGCTTGACCCTTTCGTCAATGCTGGCTTGAAGACAGCCTTTTGCTTACCCAGAGCGATCCATGCCAGTTGGCAGGCCTTGCGGATTCCAGCCGCAGATTTTAGAGGCTTGTGGCGTCTGTTTGGCGTCACCGACCATTCCTTCCAGTTGCTTAAGAATATGTTTTTTTCTTTATTTATTTCCCCTCTTGGTTTTTAAGGGAATCGATTTCACTACTGGACATATATTTGTTTGGTTTCCAGCAGTCTGAGGTTGCGCAACAGCATAGCTTCAAGAACGCCCCAAGCCACAGATACCCAAAGACACGAGCTGAAAAGACACGAGCTGCTGGACACCAGACGCAAGGACAGGAGGGGTCTTAACCAAATAGATTCCATCCGGCGCTGAGGTGAGACCGCTTTGATCTTAGCATCCCGCATGGGCCACCTCTCCACGTGCAAGCTCTTGGCCACTCGGCAAGTGGCAGCTGCCTCATGGTGCTTCCCCAGAATTAGCTCCCGCTTTTATTGTTTTTTTTTGTTTGTGTTTGTTTTTTTGCTTTGTTGGGGTCCCTTTGTTTTTCACTACCCAGGCAAACAATCTATTGTTTGCTGGGGTCCTAATGTTTAGATTAGGTGGAAGGCGTGCAAAGAACACCTGATCCATAGTCAAAACCCGAGCAAGTGGAGGGTTGGAGGGTAGCAAGGGACAATCCCCTTGCCATCAATGGGTGCGGATATCCGCCTTTGAATTATTTACATGGCATTTTGGGTAGACCATCGGCTTTTAACAGGTTTTGATTGTGGCTCACCTTGCCCCAGAACAGACAGCAACGCTTGCCTTTGCGCTTGTGTTCTTCCATGTTGCAGCCCTTTGGCCCTTCATGCATGCTTTCTCGTTTCAGAGGGCACCCCTCATGTGCTTGTGTCTTGCCGACACGATGTCGGCATGCAAAAAGACCATGTGCTTATAGCTATCCTTGCTAGAGGCAGGCGTAGCAAAAGCGACTGGACTTCTGATTGCATATGTTGTCAGGTTTGAGTCACATTCAATGGGGTTTGTGCGGAGCCATCGGTGTCAATGCCAGCAGAGCCACCGAGGCTCTTCTCTCTCTCTCTCTCCCTTTTTTCTCCTTTCGCTTTTTCTTCTCTCTTCCCAGTCTTTCTTCAACCTCTTAGGTTGCCAAAGCGTTGCGCCCGCCATGCAATCTGTACCTCAGGTTTCCGAAGTGCCGTGCCTGTCATGCAAACGAATGTCGCGAAAAGTTTTCGCCCGCACGTCCGCGCCAATGCGTCGCGACCGAGGCAGCATTCTGCCAGAACCCGGTGGTTGTTTTTCGCGATTTCTATTCCCGCACCTCACGCCCACGCATTTATTCTTGCATGCATGCATTGTTTCTGCATCTTGTTTTTTGGTGCGCAAAACCACCTTCAACCAGTGTCCATAGCACGACAGCTCCTTCGATTCTTCCTTTGACGATTCTGGCCCCCGTGAAATGCTGCGTGAGATAGACAGCAAGCGGGTGAGATATGAGTTTCTTGATGCAGCTTGCCCGCTGATATCTCTGAATGTAGGGATCCCATTTCTGGCAGAGCCGCACAATTTCGTAGCAAAACCGCAGAGCAGAGCATGTTCCAGGAGATGTTCACTCCCCTCAGAGAGAAGCCCCTTCACACCGCGCTTATTTGTTCCCGGACCATGAGGAAGATGTTCACCAAAACAAGCCACTTGACACTGCGCTTGGAGTGGTTTTGGCATGTTTTGTTCTGATTCTAAGCCACTCGACACGACAAAGAGCTCCGAGCGAGGTATCCTTGCGCGCAGATGTGGAGGCCACAGATGCCCTTCACCGCACACCGCTGGCCTACGCAGTGCAATTGAAGCATCCGGAGATTTGCCAACTGCTGCTGGACAACGGTGCTGCACTCAGCGAGAGCAAAGTTTTCACTGGAGACAATGCCCTTTTTTCCTTTTGGGAAGGGGTTTCTTGCTGGTGCCCAGCCGGGAATGCGGGAATGACCTCTATAAGCCATCCCTGGTAATTTCCTTTAAGGGGACCAAAGCCTGGGTTCATTCCCGACACCCGCACTCGGTCATTCTCTACCTATCGCACCAGCAAGGTTTCCCTACGTCAAAACAACACGCGAGACGCGTTCCCGGCCTGTGAGGCGCCGATATTGAAGCTGCAGATTGTGGGGTCCGGGTCCGAGCGACAGCGTGGATGGCAAGTGCCACGCCCGAAATGAGTGGAATGGCTATTTGCTGGGATCTTTGGACTTCAACTTTTTTTGTTGGAAACGGTGGATTGTCCATTGGACCCACGAAAAGTGAAGCTCTTTGCAGAGGGGTGAACAGCAACCAAGATGGGTGGAATGAGTTCAGCCAGGTCCGGAATATCGGGTGCTCAACGCAGTGAGCTCAGGCAAAAGAGCCAGTTGCCCGCTTGCCCACTTGCACTCTGGCGCGCCTTGCAACTCTCATTGTTTTGCCTGGTTCTCAACGCCTCGCTCAAGCCGAATGTCAAGCTTCGTGCACGTTGCCAGCTGAGAGTCAACGTAGTCCTGCAGTCCCATGCTGACAAGTGCCTACCCCACCTCAAAAAGGTATGACCTCAGCCAAGTTCGGAGAATGCAGACGAAGCAGAGGCAGACTTCTTGCGCTAGTTGCAGCGGAAAAAAACGCCTCGGTGCATTTGGAATGGCGTGGCCGTTCCCAGCTGCAGCCTTAGCCAAGCTAAAAACGATGGGCGTAAAATGCGTTGCTGTTCAAGCTGACCTGGCTGTGGTTATCCAAATCAAAGGGATCCCATTTTGAGGTAGGTGAATTCACCACCCATTTTAGAACCTATTTTAGTGGTTGGATTGGGATGTTCACTGGGGGCTAACCATGTGCTGGACATCAATTTCACGAACAGTCATTTGGAGCGAGTTTTCAGGGCTTGAGTGCGAAGCACCTCATGGATCGACGCGTACAGGACCATTGATTATGGCATGAGGTTTCACGTATTCATCTGTTGGTCGTTGATGTCACGAGATTCACCCTTCCTTGCGAGGTGCTTTGGGCCTTGGACAATTCTTTGGCCGCCGTTTGCCAACAAAATGGCATCCAGAAAAGCAAGTGACAAAGGTCGCCTATGGGGTGCAACCATTCCCCATCAACGCCCATACAGGAACGGCAATTCCTTCAGAGCGGCAAATGTTGTCCATGGCTACCCAGTTAAATTGGTGCAGCGAGTAGCAGCCTACATTCCCGGAAGCTTTCTTGCCTGGATAAATTGGAGAACGGGGGAATAATTATGGCAAGGATGAGCGGAGATTCTTCTTCCCCGTGTGGTTGCTGCTCACAACGATCTTGATTTTTCAAGGTTCACCTCTGGAGACGGTGTTTTGCGGACGGAAGGAGGCTCCCCGATGGAATCCCAAGGTCAAAGCACGCCGACATCGAGGCTGGCATTGAACAGCCAAAAGCCTTTGGCTGTTCCACTTGTGGACTGGTGACGACATTTGTTAGGGGGTGGTTCATTCCCCCAAAAGGAGAACTCCTGGGTTCTTGACTGCTCTTGGGTTATGGATCTTCAGACTTTTATTCTTTTTGCTTGAAACCAAATTTGGTTGTCCACGGAACCCAGCGCAAAAAGTCGTTCAATCAATCTTTTTGCAGAGGGGTCACCAGGAATCAAGGCTTCAAATCTGAGCTCCAAAAGTGGAACCCTCTTCTTTGGAACGCTCCGAGAAGAAGCGAAGCAAGAAAAACTCGCCGGCTCTCAGGCCCGGAGCGGCTCCTTGTCCGGCGCTCGGCGAACGCAAGCTCAAGGATCCAAACTTTTGTTTTTTGGGGGGGGCAGCTCAAGAACCCCCCGGAAAGAGGGGGGGGGGGGGTATGGTGAGCATAGGTGTCCTTTTTTGCTGTTTTGCCAGGAAAATAGAAAAATAGAAATTGTCACCGGTTGGGGGTCAAATTGTGTGGTACAAGGCCAAATCTTGGGACCATAGGTATCCTTTTTTGGTTGTTTTGGTAGAAAAATAGATGGCCCTGGTTTACCTGGTGGTTTAAACATCTACCAGGGCCATCTATTTTCTTTTCTAAAAGCACACCTATGATGAGGGCGATGGTAAAATTATGGGTGTGGCTCAAAATGAAAGAGCTAGGGCACACCGCAGGTTTTGGTCGTTGGTTCCATTTACCGGGGCAACCCATTTTGGGCCCCATGCTCTTTTTTCTTTTATCGCCCTCCGCTCGCATGGATCTGTGTGAAAACTGGGGATCCCTCGGCTCCTTTCAAAAAAATGCATCCTGGATCTTTATGGCAGGTGGCCCCAGAAGCAACAGCCCAACAAAACAACCAACAGCAAAAGCAACAGCCGCTGGTTGGTTGCTGGAACCTCACCCAAAGTCGGAGATTCCTCAACTAGCGATCTGTCCATTTGGTGTGTGTGTGTGCCAAAAAAAAAAAGACACCCGCACCATATTGAACCGGCACCCTTCTGGGTGCATTCTGTCAGTGGTCTTGCCCTTGTGCCAGGCAGGCACTCCCTGCCACAACTGAAATATTTGTGGTGGCTTGCCAGCATTCCCAGTGTGAAAGCAAAGTCTCACAATCAACCGGACATCCGGGCTTGCCAAGCCAACCAACGGCACGCGCCCGGACGCGAAGGAATGCCGGCAATGTGGGGGCAAGATATCTCGCGTCCATGTGCGTTTGCGGCCTCCTCGCCCCGGCAAGGATAATTCCCAACCACGAAACGCCACAGAATTTAAACCGTCATGGTAAGGTTGGCAGGCTGCATGCTGATGATCAGGGGGCTAACAGGGATCTCGGCATGCTTTCTGCAGATCCCTAAAGCGAGCGGGTGCTTTTTCAGCCTTCGGCCAGATGCTTGGGCCGGTTCTGTTTTTCTTCCATACCATATGCTGTCAACAGCCAAGGACTGCTTCGGACAACCTCGTGGCAGATCACTTGTTCGAATCTTTGCTCTGAGGTGCTTGCACTCGCAGCCAGCAGCGCCGCAGCACCCTGAGATCTGTGGTTTCGGGGGGGTTTTACTCCCGCGGCAAATTCTGCGGCCGGCTTCCGCTTGCGCCTTTCCACTCCCAGCCTGCTTTCATTTGCTTAAGTTGTTCTTTCCCCTGTTGGTTTTAAAGGGAATCTATCACTACTGGAAATGTGTTTATTTTTTCCAGGGGTAAGCAGATGGAAGCCTGAGCTTGCATGTGTCGCTCTTCTCCGAGGTGGGCTTCCTAGGGCAGCGGGTGCAGGCCTTTAGCCCGACTCAAGAGTCGCAAGGCGGATAATTATGACCTGTGAAGCGGACAGGGGGAGTTTCCCAAACGGAAAGGACATGAAAGCAATCTTCCAAGACCAAAGTGGATGAAAGTGGTCTTCCAAAACCCTCCACTCGTCAGCTTCCCGTGATTTGTTGGGGGGGGGGTAACCCTCATGTTAAGTGGTGCCTCTGGTCAATGAGAGAACGTGTGAGAGCCACGTATTGTCAGACGGCAATGTTGGTTCAAATGTTGAAGGCTGGATCTGCATCAAAACAGGTCTCCAGCTTGGCGTGGACTCTGCATGGGGCTCACAGGCGAGAACTGGCACGAAGCTCCCACGCCGCTTTCTTGGAGATTTGCCGGATCCTTGGAAAACCTGATGGATGGATCGGGTGCACCTCCGGCATGAAGAACGGTTCATGCTTTAGAAATTTGGGGCATTCCCAGGGAACGGTGGGTGCAACATGGGCTTCTGAATGAATGGCAACCCAGCACCGCAAGCCATGGCTTTCTGATGATCAGCTACGTGTCTACCTGTCTGCCGGCTGAACACCAGGTGATTCATGTAGATCATGCGTACGCTCTCCATGCATCATTCCCACCACATCCGCATTCACAGCAATTGATACTAATTTCTGGCTGCCGGTATTTTGAACCGACGCACTGGACTGCTTCATTTGGAGCCTGGTGAATTTTGCATCTGGTGGTCTCCTTCCTGAAGCAGGATGCTTCGGCTGCGAAAGCATGCAGGTCGCCAGGTTCCGTTTCGACACCATTTGCCCAGCTGCGAATTTAGCAGCTGAGGGCAAGGCCAATAGTGGCAGATGCCGATGTGCGAGCTTGTTCCACGAAGTTGCAGAATAGAAACTGCCACTAGGGGACCGCAGGTTTTAGTCCTTTGGTTCCATTTACCAGGGCCCAAATTTTGGGTACCTATGTTTGACCCACAGCCAACTGGTGATGGAATCAGTTTGTTGGCCGGATATCAGGATGCACGCGTTTGTAGGTTGCATTGGGGGGAGGACTTCCGGCCATGTTGGCTCTGGCTTTGTTCTTTTCTCGCTTGACAGCTGCGGAGGTTGACCAGGAGTTATCAGAAGATGTGGCACTTCCGGAAGCTTCAGCCCAATTGCCGTCCTACGAGGTGAATGAAGAATTCCAGCAACGATCGCATGCAACAGGACTGCTCAACTCAGCCTCCAGTGGTTTTTTGGCGTGAGACTCTTTGATCATCGCCGGGGAAACTGGCAGTACAAACTGCTTGGATTCCGTGGAAAGGAAGCAGTCGCGCGGCAGAACTCACCCCGAAACGAAGAAGACCAAAAACAAGCGGCGCTGCCGAGGTTTGGAGAGCAGAAGGCGGAAAGCCCTGACGGTGCGGAGGCGGCGCTCGGGTTCCATCGGCTTCTTTTTTTCTTGCTGGTGCCAAGAGCCGATGCTTCAAGGTCTGAGATTCATGGCTTTCTTTGGCCATGCCATGAGGTTCATGCACGTGGATATTTGGGTTAAAAGGTTGCACAGTTCGAGGGCCGGGCACTTGCCACACGACCGCCTAACCATTTGGCGAGGGGCATGGATCCACAACACCTTGACTGCTAGGATCTTTAGACTTTAACTTTTTGGGAAACAAAGGTGTTAACCACCAAACCCCCAAAAAGTTAAACTGAATGCAGGGGGACCAAGACACACACACACACACACACACACACACACACACACACACACACACACACACACACACACACACACACACACACACACACACACACACACACACACACACACACACACACACACACACACACACACACACACACACACACACACACACACACACACACACACACACACACACACACACACACACACACACACACACACACACACACACACGCACCATTTTGCCCATGGATAGGCCTTGGAGACCTATGAAGACGAGCCAGGCCGAGTTGAGCGGGTTCTGAAAATTGCAGCAGCGCACAGTTGCCGGCTGTCACGAGTTGGGTTCTAACAGTCTCCAGACGCCTGAGTGCTGCTTCCCCATGGGTGACAAAAACTAGCCGTTGATTAGAAAGCGAAACCACTTGAGAGTGGGTTCATTTGGCTGTGGGTAAAAATGAAACCACCAGGATATGGACCGCAGCTTTTAGTCCAAGTTTCCTCTTACAAGGGCAAGCCATTTTGGGTACCTATTTCTGACCCACAGCCATTTCTCATTTGCCCAGAACCCCCTCCTCCAGTTTTTACATGACAGCTTCGCGCAGTTCTGCGTGGTTCTACCGCTGCCCTCGCAGGCCGCGGTGGGCCCTTTGCCCCGGCAGGCGCGAACACCGGCGCCACGGCGCAACTGGCAGCTCTGGGCCTGGGGGGGGGGGGGTCATTTTTCCCCGTTTTTGGGGACTGTGGCGTTGAACTGGCAAGGTGAACTGGGCAGTGGAGGATATACTCGGAGCGAATCGACCTCACCTTTTGGTAGGTTAAACTTGGATTTCTGGGTTTTTTGGGCAACTGTGTGCATGGGTGTGTTTTTCAGAAGGCTCCCCCGAAAAATATGGTTGTCCTGTTGATTTTCCAGCAGGGAGCAGAGCTGAGTGCCCTTAACACGCTTGCCTCGCAAGGGCGTTGTGGCTGGGTCAGGGACCAGCTCCAACACGTACAGCTTTTGGTGTGAGGCTGGCGCACGCTGCCAGCCTCGGCAGTTCACCTTGGTGTTCCCTCCATTGGCTTGCGCATAGGAGATCAGGAACACACACATGCTCAAAGAGCCTTGTCCCTGGCACGCAAAGCCTTGCCACATTCGGTGGTTCCCAGCAACCGCCTTGCTAAGTTTTTGTGGGCTCTTAGCTGGCGTTTCCATTGAACCCACAAATTCGCCTTTTAGCGGGGGATCCAAATCGGACAGCCCAGATTCCTTTTGTATTTCCAAGTGCGTTTGGAAGTGCAGGCTTCGACCTACAGCGAATGGAGTTCGAGATCGCGGGGCTCCAAGATTCGGGCTGCAAGCGCAGGTGTTTAGGCGGCGCTTTGGCGTTTTTCGCCAAAGTCGAACACAAGCCCAAGCTTTCTGCCTTTGGAAGCACAAAGTTGTCAGACCTCCCAAAACGACATCAATTCACTTCCTCATAGGCGCCGGGTGGTCCTCTGAAAACCGTTTGTGGTGTTTGGGCTCCCTCTGTCCTGACTGGCTTCCGTTTGCAAACCACCGAGCTGGGGTAATGATCGATAGGGATAGTTTGGGGCATTCGTATATTGTGAGGTGAAATTATTGGATTTGTTAAAGCCGGACTGCGAAAGCATTTGCAGAGCAACCACCCGACGTGTTCCACTGGCGCAGCTGTCCCATCTATCGCCATCTATTGCATGAAACCATCGACACATGACCGGATTGCAGCTGACGGATCGAGGGATCAAAGCTATGGTTTGCGCCTAATGGTGGCTGCAATCATTCCCAAGCTATGTGACTCAGTTGCACAAAGCGCATCGACCTTTTCACCTTTTGGTTTTGTATTTTGCCCCATAGTGACCCCAAAAGCTGAACCTTCTATTTCTGGGCAACTGAGGTGACCAAAAGCTGGCAACTTGGCCCCGACTTTGTTATGTTGTTTTTCTCTCATGAACAAAGTCTGGAATCTGCTCGTCCGTCGACTGCGTTCTGGTTTGGGTTTCCGGGTGCACCTTAGGTTGCTTTCGACAGCTTCTGTCTGAATGTCTTGTACTACCTGCTGCATGTGCCCATCCTCACCTATGCAGTTTGGGCGCTCTTAGCGCAGAAGACGTACACAGAGGTTATCAGCAACAGCCCTTTCCTCATGGCACGGGTGGATGCTCAGAAGCCAATCCTAATATCTGTTTGCCCTCTTGCCGATCAGAGCCAGCTTTTGGATCTTCCACCTTTTTGTTTTTTTCTTGGTGGTCAGTGATTTGTGGGCGGCTTGTGGGAAATTTGGGCCAGCCATTCCAAGAGGATGCGTTGTTTTCCAGAGGATGTGTTGGACATCAGCCCGTACGCGTCGCGGGTGACGACCCCAGATCCGGATCCTGCCACCCGGGAACGGTGCGGTTTGCCAGGCGGGACGCTGTTTCAAATGGATGGCTTTACGAGCTCGGGTTACGCAGGTTTTAGTCTTGGGATCCATTTACCTTGGTGCCATTGCGTACAATTTTTAGACCCACAGCCACATGTAAACAAGGTCTGGAAGAGGGTCGCACAAGGATAAGGCTATCCATGTGGCCTGTCTTGGTGTATCGTTTTCCCCGTTTGCCTGCACGTTCTCTCGTGGCACACGGGAAAATCGCATGGGCTGAAGGAGGGAAACTTGGAAGCCATGCGGCGGAAGCGGAATTGATTGCATCAGCTCAGGGGGGCCATTCAGCTGCAAGAACAGCACCCCGGCGGTGTACCAGGAGTTCGGCTGTTCGCCCGGCTGTCGGCCATCTTGGCCATGTTGGCCATGGGGTTCACATGAAAAGCTGCGAAAGACCTGACCGGGTGACCGGGTGCACCAAAACACCCAAAAAGATTTGACTTCGAAGTGGGAAAAGCCAGCCATAGTGATTTTGGGGCCAGGAAGATTGAGGAACCCCCGTGTCTTTGCTGCATTGTGTTGGCATGGCAGATGCCGGATATTGCTTTCCCAACTATGTGTCAGAGGGGTTGGCATGTTGAGTGCTGATTGGCCACTTGTTCCCGACATGTGGCGGAGAGGCAGGTGCCGAAAGTTGCGTCTTTGCCCACTTGTGGGGCACGCGCGTAGGAGTGCGTGAGCCTCCTCAACGAGGAGATCGTGCAGACACTGGACCTGCTCATGTACAGATCTTGCAGCTGGTTTTGCGACCTGAGCACCGCGAGTTTCCAGCCCTGGTGCTTTGTGCCGACCACGCGGATTCAGCAATTGGGGAGTACATCTCTGGAACTCACAACCTTCAGCGCCTTCAACTGGGGGGCCTCTTGTCTGCTCTTGGGTCAGGTCTTTAGATTTTGACTTTTTGGGAAATGAAGGGGCTTTTCCACTAAACCCACAAAAAGTTAAACTTTTTGCAGAGGAGTCAACAGCAACAAAGGCCTTGTCAGGGAGGGACAGGAGCATGTGGGTCTTGCTGCACCACTTGCTGCGCTACAGCCCGGTGCATTTCACCTACAAGTTCCGGATGTCCCAGCCGGCGCCGTTTGGGCACGACCCGAAAATTGCGGAGCCCAAAACAAATCAGGACGCCCACACGGCCACGGTGGACCAAGATGGCCACTTGCCGAAAGCCGTCAGCTCAAACCTGGAAGACCCGCTGGTCCACTTCGACTGTTGAACAGCAGATGTGCAAATTGCTTTTGGCAAGTTGGCAGGTGCCGGCGACAAATGGGTATGGCTCAAAATGAAACCACCAGGGGGCCACGGGCTTTGGTCCTTGGTTCCATTTCCCAACCCATTTTGGGGTTACCCGAATTTTGACTCACAGCCAAATCTGGGGGTTTCGTATCGCTGAGGTCGGGTGCAGCGATCCTTCAGTCCTGGGGCCCCCATTGTGATCCCCCCACCTTCGTTGCTGCAGCTCGCTGGCCGGGAGTGGAACCTGCAGACTTTGCAAATCGGCGGCGAGTTCGTCAGCATGGTGAACTGTTACACCGACGGCGCCTTTGGAATATTTTTTGGGAGAGGAGAAAGGTCGCCCGAAGTTGAATTCCAAAGGGTCCGGAAAAGCTGCAACCCAACCTGGCATGCAAGCTTGTCCCCCCCTCCACGCATCGCTAGCGTGGTGCTCTGTCGCAGGTGTTTTTTGCTCAGGCATGTTGGGACCAGGAAAGACAGCCTTCACTGTGAGATCTTTGTGACAGAGCTGCGCTGGCCTACTGGGATCCTCACACGGTGACTATCCTATCAGAAAACCTTCCGCGTCCAAGACTCATCAAAAAGAACCGTCTGTCAGATAGCCCCTGATAGAGTTGTCTTGCTGGTGCTCAGGGACTGAGACATGGAATGACCATCCCTGGTGTTCCTTTCTTCGGGACTCTGGGTTCATTGCACGTCTCCTTCCCCGAGGTTCCGACCTGCCGGTGCTGCAGTGGGGCGCGCATGCGCCGGTGGAGCCCCAGCTGGAGCTGCCGCTCTGCCTCCTCTCCGTGCAGCAGCTGAAGAGTAGCTCCATGCGAAGCTTCTCCGACGTGCTGAACGATGTGAGCCTGGGATGAAGAGATCCAGTTGGCCGGGGATCCGTTTGTTGGCTCTTGTTTTTCTTGACTTATTGTGTTTTTGTTGGATGTCCTTTTGCTTTTTTCCCGAAAGCATGGCGAAGGGTTCTTCCGCTGGGTTCACTTGAATTGTTCTCATGAGAGTCATTACAAGGTGTCATTGCAAGGAATCATCATCATGAAAGTCAATGCAAGGAGTCATTGCAAGGAGTCATTGCAAGGAGTCATTGCAAGGAGTCAAGGAGTCATTGCAAGGAGTCATTGCAAGGAGTCATTGCAAGGAGTCATTGCAAGGAGTCATGGCAAGGATTGCAACTTGCACTTGACTCCTTGCACTTGCAACTTGCACTTGACTCCTTGCACTTGCAACTTGACTCCATGCACTTGCAACTTGCACTTGACTCCATGCACTTGGCTCCTTGCACTTGGCTCCTTGCACTTGGCTCCTTGCACTTGGCTCCTTGCACTTGCAACTTGCACTTAACTCCGTGCACTTGCGACTTGCACTTGACTCCATGCACTTGGCTCCTTGCAACTTGCAATGGCTCTCATGACTCCTTGCAATGAATGACTCCTTGCAATGACTCCTTGCAATGACTCCTTGCAATGACTGCTTGCAATGACTCCTTGAAACAAGCAAGGAGTCAAGTGCAAGTTGCAAGTGCAAGGAGTCAAGTGCAATTGACTTGCGAGGAGTTAAAATCTCTTCTTAGGGCGGCGGGGTAGTGCCGACGACACTACACGAAAATCGACCCTCTGCGGGGATCGGCGTGGTCGAGGTGCAAAAACCCATGGTTTTTTGCGATTTCTAACCTGCTCGCGCGACCCTCTGCGGGGATCGGCGTGGTCGAGGTGCAAAAACCCATGGTTTTTTGCGATTTCTGCTGCTCGCGCGACCCTCTGCGGGGATCGGCGTGGTCGAGGTGCAAAAACCCATGGTTTTTTGCGATTTCTGCCTGCTCGCGCGACCCTCTGCGGGGATCGGCGTGGTCGAGGTGCAAAAACCCATGGTTTTTTGCGATTTCTGCGGTGCTCGCGCGACCCTCTGCGGGGATCGGCGTGGTCGAGGTGCAAAAACCCATGGTTTTTTGCGATTTCTGCGGTGCTCGCGCGACCCTCTGCGGGAATCGGCGTGGTCGAGGTGCAAAAACTCAAGGTTTTTTGCGACTTTTGTTGTTCGAACTGGTCCTCGGGAGTTGTCTCGTGGTTCGCGCGCCTGCTCCCGGAACCGGCGGGTCGCGGGTTCGATTCCTCCCTGGTCCGCGGGCGGGCGTCGCAAGATGCAACTTGCATTTTACAGCAACTTGCGCAGAGCAACTTGCGCAGAGCAAGTTGCACAGAGCAACTTGCGCAGACCAACTTGCACCGACCAGTTTGCGCAGAGCGCCTTGCCTAGAGCAACTTGCGCAGAGCAACTTACGCAGAGCAACTTGCACAGAGCAACTTGCACAGAGCAGCTTGCACAGAGCAACTTGCAGGGAGCGCAATTTGCACAGAGCAACTTGCAGGGAGCCACTTGCAGGGACCAACTTGCCGGAGCAACTTGCGCGGAGCAACTTGCGCAGAGCAACTTGCACAGTGCAACTTGCGTAGAGCAACTTGCGCAGACCAACTTGCACCGACCAGTTTGCGCAGAGCACCTTGCCTGGTGCTGTCTCGCGCTTGCTTCACGAAGTGTAGGGAAAAAGAACGCATCCTGCAGCGTTGGGCCGACCTCGCTTGCGATGTTCTGCTTTCGGGCCAACTGTGGTCTAGTTTTTTATTGCTGTTGTCTTGTTTCTGTTTTTGGGATGTTCTTTTTTTGGTTGTATGGGACTTCGAAATGGTGGGCTTGTTCTTGGCTGGCAACTGTTGGCGTTGAAAGGGAAGGCATCTAGGGGAAAACCCACAAAGAGAAGCATTTTGGGGGAGACCCCATTTTGAGAGCGCGCATATAGTCAGCCCCTTCTGAAAGAAAAGGGCCTAAGATCAGGGCGTGCGACCCAACCAGGGTAGGGCCATCGGCCCTCGATACATTCTAAGCGCCTCATTTGCGGGGGGGGGGGGGGACTCCCGTGAGAAGATCAGGAGATTCCCAATGTTCCTTGTTAGCTGAGAATTGAGTAATCACAGACATCATTCGGTGCGAACGGCCAATGCAATCAACATCAAATCAATTGATTGCGTGTGAGTCGTCCTCATCCTCATTTTGCATGGTTTCCTTCTACAGGACTCCTGTGGAGACTGCTCTATCAACCCTTGCAGTGGTATGTTGACTTCTCCTCTGCACCTGGTTTGTCTCGCAGAAACCTTCAGGGATAGGGTGCTTCTCCCACTTCGCTCCAGTGTCAAAATCAGAGGCCTGCCTCGTGATTTGTGGCTTGCCTTTAAAGGCTTTTGCTTATTCTCGCCAGGCAATGTGGCCAGGTCCCCCAGTAGCGCCAGTAGTGCCTTTTTACCCTTTGTAGAGGAGGGTTCCCCTACTAAAGAAAAAAGGGTAACCTTATTCTAACCTCCCCTGGATGGACGTTGCGCCCCTAGCTTGATGTGGAATCTGTCGCGAGTTGGCTCAGGACCTATAGCAATACCATGATACGGATTGACACCAAACAGGGCAACAGCTTCCACAGGCGGGCGACGTGACATGTCGAGCTAGATTTCGCACAAGAAGGGGTGCACGAACGGTACCAGCCCCAGAAGCATCTCTTGAAAAGGCCGCCAGAATGCAACACATGATGACAATGCTACACTAATCTCAGGGCCCCTTGTGGCTGGCCATGGTGTCAAAAATTGGCTTGCTTCCACGGCTGCATAATTCCGTGACGAAAAACTTAGATGAGTAGCGAGACGGATGAACGAGATTTGTCTCATTGCGCAGGCTATTCTCCTGGTTTGCGCTGGTGATGAGCCTCATTTCCTTTGTGGTTCTTTTGAAGATCCCCTCCATGCTGGTCACGACCTTCGCCCAAAGATGCCTGGGGCCTCTCTCCGGGGTAGTGAAACGAGTCTTTGATGCATTTTGCAGAGGGATGTTAGGACTTTAACTTTTTGCCAACCCATGGGTTTTCCATTAAACCACTAAAAGTTAAACTTTTAGCAGGGGAGCAGAAAGCAACCGAGGAGTAGTGGAGGAGAGCTTCCACATCCGCACGCGCGCCGCCTCCGGGGGGCTCCGCCTCGCCTCAGACGCGCTGGCCATAGAATCTTTGGCGCCGGAGGGACTTGCGGAGCCGGAGCTGGCGAAGGAAATGGCCAGGATCCTCGAGCAAGTGGGTGACATGGTTGTCGTTGGGGAACATTTTCCTTTGCTTGTTGTGGTTTAGTGGTTGAAATCTCCCCACTTAACTGCTAAAATTTAAATGTTGCTCCCCTTCCAATGTCAGCCAAGGTGACGCGGAGGATTTGGGAGAGGATTTGGGCAAACACGTCTTTCGAACTCTCGGCACAAGAGAGAAAGGCAAGGCACAAGATGGACCAGTGCACTCCGGCCGCTTCGGCCATTTGCTAAGCTGGGGCGTTGCCGTGGATGTCTTTGACATCACTGCCTTCTTCTCGCGCGCACGGCGACGCCGCCTACTGGAATGGTACATTCTACCTGCAGATCACCGCGCAACTTTGCGCAGCTTTGCTGGGTTTGGCCATTTTCCTTGACCTTTGAATGGCTAACTGCCGCCCTCAGCCCTCAATTCAGGGCCAAGTTTTTTTGTTTCTCCATGTTTGACTTCCAGTAGAATCTGAAGATGACTGAATGGCAAAGTTCCGCCCTCAGCCCTCAGGTCAGGGCCATTTTTTCCAATTTCAATTTGTCAATTCTCTTAATTCCATTAAAATCCGCTCGGGCTGAGCCGCCTCAATTCAATCCCAGGAGTCCCCCGGGAGGGCGTCGGCCCGGCTGAATTGGAGGAGGTGAAGGAGCTCTCGGGCGACCTTTCGGGCGACGGCGCGCGGGTGGTCGGCGGAGAAGACGCGGAGGGGGCGGCAACCCTTCCATTTGCTTAAGAATATATTTGCGATTTGTTTTCCATTACTGGAAGCGTTTTGATTTGCTTAAGTGATATTTTTTTTATTTGTTTTTCTGGTTTGAAAGGGACTCGATTTCACTACTGGACACCTTTTTTCATTTTTCCCAGGGGTCGAAAACGCCAATGGAGGCAACCCAAGACCTGCCGTTGCTGCGGGAGCGGCTGGAGGTGCTGGAGAGAAACAAAGCCCGCCGCGAGGAGCAGCTGCAGAAGAGGCCGGTTTGCGTTTTTTTTTCGGGGGCAGACCTGGGCGGGGGCCCCCACCCCAGAGGAATAAACCGGGGTTTGTGAATCCGGGGTCAACATTACTGGTGACCAACAGGGCTCCTTAAAAGATCTCCATTCTGCAACCAATTGAAACATGTTGCTTTTTCAACGCCAAACTAAAGGGACACCACCATTTGCAAGTTGCAATGTTCAGGTGTTGTTTTGTAAGGATCCCTGCTGGGGCTTCCTAAGTCCGATTTGTGTCCTGCCGTTTCATGGACAGCTGCCTTTTCAGGAAAGGGCATCACAGTTTTGCCTTGAGCAAATTTTCCTGAACTTTGTATGGACTAAGTGGAGTCATGCCCGTTATGAGGTGGTTGTAGCAGGGTGGGTTTTGCCACTTGCTTGCTGGTGGGAAGTTCCGTTGTTTGATGTTGGACTGGTTTCGCAGCCCGAGAGCACGAACACTGCCACTAGGAACTCTCGAAGCCGTTGCTTGGTGATCCGAATGTGCCAGACACATGAGCTCACACCATCAGCACATTGCCGTGCTGATGACGGCCGCGTGTTTCACAAACATATCATGCTTCTTCCACAGCTTGGTTTGCCACCGTCCTCTGCCTTCAAATTTTGACCTCCCCGAAACGGTGCGTTCCAAGGTGCCAGGCGCAGGCAGAGCTGTCTGAGCTGCAGTCGCGGTACCAAGATCTGAAGCACCGCTGGAAAGCCCAGCGGAAGGTCGAGAAAGCGCTCGTCCCGGCCCGGGGCCCAAGATCGCTCGCCTTTCGTTTTTTCAGATCGATGGATTCGTACCTCTTAAAAACACGAGACTTTTCTCAACTTTTTGGGTAACATGGGCTATATGTCTGTAAAAGCTTAACTTCCCCAATCCTTGGAGTTTTAAGGGGTAAGGATTTGACAAGGCCAAGAGCAGCGGTGCCTTTGACACGTAGGTGAAGTCAGTGAAGTCTCCGACCATTCCGAGCCTTCTGCCAGCGTCCTGCAACTCTGCATTTAATGCCATAACGGCCTCACCTGTTGAGCTTGCGGGCCAACTCCATGTTCTCTGGAGTTTTGGTTGCAAGGTTGGGACAGGGTGCTGTTGGGCATCAGGTATTCAAGACTGGGAGGGGGGGGGAAAGGGTGAGAAGAGGCCATTTTGTGCACCAGAATCAAACGCATAGCACGAGCATCGTGGAATGACAGGTTTCTGCCAAGTTTCCCGAAACCCATCGGTCTTGTACAGCAAATGTATGTTCTGAGTTGGTGAGTGGTGTTTTTAGCAATTCAGTATGTCGAACTCGCAAGATGTTTGTGTACTCTATGTGCTTCATTCTCAGATGTCATGTTTCAACCCCCATGCCCTAGCTTGGCTTCCGAGTTTACCCCTTGAAGGCATGCTTCCTTCCCGCTTACTTGCAGTGAGAAGCTTTGTTTTTTGCAACCCATGGCATCCAGAATCCCCTTTCGGCCGGACCGGCCGGACCTCGGCGGCGGGACACGGCCGAGGCGCGGGAGAATTTGGCTGCGCTGTCGGCGCGGGTGGAGGTTGCGGAGCTGGAGCGAGCTCGCCTCGGCCTGCAGCTGCAGGAGCCGCGCATCAAGAGCTTTCTGGCTAGGATTTGGCCATGGGTCAAAACTCCGGCACTAAAATAGACCAAAATGGGTGGTGCACCTACCCCAAAATGGAATCCCAAAACGGTTTTGACCCACAGCCACATGGCAGGCCATTGGAGTCGAGCCGCTGGGCAGAGTGTGGGATAGGATTGACCTATTACCTTGTACAGATTTGAGGACCTTTTGGGGCAAAGCCTGAAAGCTGCAGCGGGGACGCAACGGTGCTGATTTTGCTGAAAACTGGACCCAACAACCACCAACTGTTTGGTTGTGACGCGTCCCAGGTGGTTGGCAGTTTGATTTCCAGACAACTGACTTCCTTGATGGACCCAGATGTCCAAAAAGCTGGCCCAGAAACAGGGAACGCAAGCCAGGGCTTGCGTCTCCAGTGGTGCGATTCATGCGAGCAGTCAAAGGTCTAAGGGGATGTCCACAAGATGTGTGAATCTTGACAATGCAATGTGACCGTAGTGTGTGTTGTTGTTGTTTAAAAAAAGGGGGAAACACGCGCTGAAATTGGCGTCCACTTGTTTGCGACGGTATTGTTGTACCCTGCCCCGCCCACTATGAGTGGATGATGGAAACTTGGATGAACCACCACTAAAATGGTCTTCCAAATTGTGGTGGCTGATAGTGTTTGGGGGCAGGGTCCAACGTAAGTGTACTTGTTGAGGCTGTTGAGATGTGCAATTTGCAGTTCGCTTTGGCGCGGCTGTGCAAAGCCGCCTCACGCTTTGCGCCAGGAGCTCCTCGCGAGGCCGGCCTTTCAGAACTTAGTGCCGGAGGAACGTGAGGGTTTTGGAGGGGCGGGGGGCCGGGGGAGGGGGAGGCATGGCACTTGGGTCGTGGCTGGAAGACATGATTCAAAATAATGTTGGACCTTGTGTGCTGTGCCCCCCCCCTCAAACAGTCAAAACATTGGTCGGGGATCCTGAATGCGGATCTGGCAGGGAGCTTGGATGACTTCAGTATTGCCCTACTATTGCCTTAGTTTAGAATTGCCAGCACTTCCTTTTGGGTTGCCACTACTTGGTTCAGTATTGCCCTTCCTGTTGGATTGCCACTACTTAAATCAAACCAGGAGATCTTGGGCTCAGGTCTTGACCTGGTCCCTTGCTAAGTTTTTAGATTTGGAGCCCCTTTTAAAAGCAAGAGGCTAAGATTTGACCTGGCGATTCCTAACCCACCAGCCCCTAAGACTTGATATGATGGACATTCAACATGGAGCCCAAACAGTGCCCCTGAAAGATGATCAGGGCCCCTTGTGGGCGACCCCCTTTGCAGGATCGTTTTGGGAGTGTTTTTGGATGGTTTCAAGTAACGGGTTTTGATGGTTGGGGATTCCTGGCCTGGTCCCTTGCTAACTTTTAGATTTGAAGCTTTAAACAGCAAGAGGCTAAGATCTGACCTGGGGATTCCTACCCCGCCCACCCCTAAGATGTTTGCTCGGATTTTTAGGACCCGGATTTTTTGGGGTCTGATATCCCATGGTAACAGTGGGGGGCGAGTGCTTAAGCCGGGGAAACTTGTCACAATTCAGACTACAGATCTTAATCCATAAACCAGGTGCAGCATGACAGGCAAAGTACGATGAATAATTTGTTTCAGGAAGCGGATGCTGCGAAACAAGAAGAGTCCAAGTTGGCAATAGAGCTGGACAGAGGCGGCATGTCAAGCCTTGACCTGCTAGATGTGTTGCCCTTTCAACAGACGTCGTTTTGCTTCCACGGGAAGTTCATGGTGGCCCTATGCCCGGTCCGAGAAAGGTGTATTTTGCTAGTGGGTGTCCGTGGACCTGGAAATGACCACTTGCGGCAGCGGGTGCCTTTTAGAGAGGAGTGCGTGGCCTAACGGGACGGGGTGACGTAAAGGTCCGACGTTGCAAGTTGGGTTCCCTAGCCACCATCAACACATGGGTTAGGTGAAGGTTAGTAAAGGATAGTCCCAACCACAAATGGGCGCAGCCACCTTTGTAATTGTAAACGCTTCGCGTTGCCCGCCTCGGCCAGAATGCTTTTGGCTGGCTTTGAGGTACTGTGATTTGGTTTGCCGTGAAGCGTTTCGTCTTTCTGGGTGGGTCGGCGCCGAACTGCGCGAGCTGGTTTCCGAGATAAAGGTTACCTGCACGCTCGCGCCTTTCCGTATGGCCTGAAGGGCGAAATGGAGCTAGAGCCGTGGGCTGGGGCCGAGCGAAGCCTGACGTTTCTAGCGGGAGCTTGACCGGTTTCTGGGGACCGGCGACGAGAGGGGACTCCATTGGCTTGTAGAGGGGGGCAGTATCTCCTCGTATTTGGCCGGAGCTAGAGGTGAATTTGACCAGGTAAGGGGAATGTGACAGGTTTTAGCGGGGCTTTGGGCTTCTAGAAAGAATTTGACTGGCTTCAAGGATTTGAATTTGATCGGTTTGTCCGGAGATGGGCTGGATTTAGAGGGGCTTTGGCTGGCTTCTAGAGGTGAAATTGACCCATTTCTAGTAGGGGAAAATTGCGTGTGTTTGCCCGCCTTCGGCTGGGCGTGGGCTTCAGAGGGCTCCGAGGCGATTTTTTTGGCCCAAGCTTTGCTTTGCCGTGCCTCTTGGTTGGATGCTTTAGGAGCTGGAGCTGGAGCTGGAAGTGGCGAGTCCCGCCCACCGCGTGCCGGAGTCGAAGGAATGTCGGCTTCTCGCCGGAGTCAAAGTCGCTCTGTGACAGCTTGCTTGGCGTCCTGGGCAGGGGAACCAAGCCGAATGTGCCAGCGGGTGTGTTCTTTTGGGGGTGTGTTTTAAAGGGAAACCAAACGGAACACCACATTTTTTTTGGGGGGGTCCCGAACAAAAAGACACGCCCAAGTAGATCTTGCTGCACGCATCTTCCTTGGCCTTTGCATGCAGGCAGGAGGTTTGCCAAAATTGCAAGCCCAAAGTGTGCTTGCGCGAGTCGAGCAGGCAGAGCTATTTAGAATGTGTAGCACTTGTCGATGCTAGCAAGATCGTCATGCCTGCTGACCCAAACGCGTGTTAGCAGCTTTCAGATGTTCATACTCTATCCATGGTACGGAAGCGGGCTCACCGGCCTGCCTCGGCAAAGCCGAGTGGAGCGTTGGCAGCCTGAAGCAGAAAAGAAGCGAATGCCCAGGTGAAAGGCACTGGCGTTCGTCACTGGCCACTCATTCCAGTCCTTCCGAGGTGCGCTATCCACATCCATCTCTTCGTCAGCCGAACGAGGATGTGAGGACCTTTGCCAGGGCCTTGAGATCACTTCACGGTATGATGAGTTGCGCTTCGAGCTGAGGACCGGAGATTGCGAACCCTCGCGGACAATCTCTTTGCCACTTTGTACGCTACAGGCGATTTCTTGTGCTTGATCTACCTGACAACTTCCACTCGGGCTTGACCTGCTTCGGGTGCTTCTGCATTTGCAAGCGGGGGATGCATGTTTTCAACAGCGGATTCGTTTGAATTGTATGTTTCTAAATATATAAAAAAATATTTCTCAAGTAAATCATAGGCAACAGCGGATGTTTTATGATGCATTGCACACCATGTCCTGGACGAAATATGAAGAGACCTCACCCCGCCTCCCACCTGAGCCGTGAGAACTTTGGACACAAGCTCAAGCCTTGTGTTTGGTCTGAAATCTGTGTTGCTGATGTGTGTATCAAGGGGCAAAAGCGGGACATGTTGTTTGTATCAGGCATCCTTGTAAATCATTTTGGTGGCTCCCAGCCATCCCCTTATCTCTTTAGCTTAGTGTTTAGTGGTCGTTTCCATGTAACCCACTAAAAGTTGGTCGCCTTTCCCGGGGGATCTGAGGGCAGCCCAGTCATGTTTGTGTTTCCTGCGGTGTTTCAAGGCTCGGAGGTAGGCTCGCCCTTGTTGCCAAGAGTGCCTCAAGTGCCTCGACCGCAGGCGATGGTATTGGCTTGGCTGCCCCGCAGGTGAGCCACAGTGGGGAAAGAGGCCAAAGGTGGGTTCTTGGGGCCACTGGTGTTCACAAGGAATCCATGTTAGTCGGGCGTGCGTTGCCTCAAGCGCCATGCGTTGCTTCAAGCGCCACGGCCCAAGATCCAAGATCTGACTCTATCCCCGTCCTGCACCATGGCGTTGCGCGTGGTGGTGCTTGCTGCGACGGCTGCAATTGCCATCGCTGGTAGCTGCAGCGGCAGCGATGCTCAGCAACTTGCTTTTGCAATCAGGGCTGCGTGGCGTGTATGGCCAATGCCCAGTGCGATGGCATTCAATTGTTTGCTGGAATGTAGTTGACAAAACAGCTTACGGAACCATGCGCATACTCAAGCAGCAAGATGAGGATTTGGTCGCAGAAGGGCTCTGCCGCTTTCTCTGGAGACTTGGACGCCTGCGGCCATCAGTGCGCTTTGTCCTCCACCGATTGCGCCAGCAAATGTGTGCAAGGCCGGTCTTCAGCTTGCAGACCTCACAGAATTTGATTCCATTTAGTTCCGGAGGTGCTGCGATTTGCATTCGCTGCCAATTTTGTTGTCATTGATGCTCATGCAAGTGTCGGTTTGGGCATCCTGCCAGGCAAGGAGGGCTACAGCGATGGCTGCGCTAGCTGCTTTGGAGATATCTTCGGCTGCACCCGCCAGCACTGCAAGCTGAAGTGCATCGGTGGGGGGGGCATGCAGACATGACATCTCAGTGACAGCCAGGGCAGGTCCTATCATTGAAAAGCTGCGTATGCAGATGCTGTAGAGAGGCTCATGTCAATCTTGCGTGGGAGGGGCTCGGGCCAAAGCCCAATTTGCAAGACTGGGGCATTGGGGGTGTAGGGGTTCGGCTGTTTCTGCAAGAGGCGGGAATGAATGGAATCCCTGGAGGCGGGCAGACTGATGCGTGCAAGCAGTGTGTAGCAGCCTCAGTGACCCAGGAGGGACAGAGAAACTGTGATGCACAAAGGACCCTGGTGAATTGTGGGGTATCCAGATCTAGGATATTGTGGCTTTGTGGGCATTCATTTGGAACAGGGATATCACAGGGAGTGCTGGAGAGGGGGGGTCAGAGGCAGATGTCACTGGCATGTTAAAACGGCAAAGACTCACACCGCCGCCAATGACTTGAAATTCTCCATCCCATGTAGCCCAGGTGAAGGATGCCGGCTGCGTCGCCACCTTCACCAGCTGCAGCGGCTTTACTCCACCCTCCGTTTCCGTTCAGGGCAACCAGTGCAGCGACAACGACTCGCAGACACTCGCACTGCTTGGGTTGATGTGGCCTTGTTTTCGCCTAGAACTCGCAAAGTTCTGAGGTCTGCTTGTGTCGTTGCTTGTTTTACGGGCGTGCGCGAGGATTTGGACGCAGAAGGGCCTTGCCGCTTTCTCTGGAGACTTGGACGCCTGCGGCCATCAGTGCGCTTTGTCCTCCACCGATTGCGCCAGCAAATGTGTGCAAGGCCGGTCTTCAGCTTGCAGACCTCACAGAATTTGGTTCCTCTGGTTCCGGAGGTGCTGCGACTTGCATCCGTTCCCCCCCAGCATCCATGCCAAGTTGCGGTCCTTGTTGCTGATGTAATTGCCAATTTGGGCATCCTGCCAGGCAAGGAGGGCTACAGCGATGGCTGCGCTAGCTGCTTTGGAGATATCTTCGGCTGCACCCGCCAGCACTGCAAGCTGAAGTGCATCGGTGGGGGGGGGACATGCAGACATGACACGTCAGTGACAGCTAGGGCAGGTTGTATCATTGAAAAGCTGCGTATGCAGATGCTGTAGAGAGGCTCATGTCAAACTTCCGCGGGAGGGGCTCGGACCAAAGCCCTATTTGCAAGACTGGGGCATTGGGGGTGTAGGGGTTCGGCTGGTTCTGCAAGAGGCGGGAATGAATGGAATCCCTGGAGGCGGGCAGACTGATGAGTGCAAGCAGTGCGTAGCAGCCTCAGTGACTCAGGAGGGACAGAGAAACTGTGATGCACAAAGGACCCTGGTGAATTGTGGGGTATTCAGATCTAGAATATTGTGGCTTTGTGGACATTCATTTGGAACAGGGATATCACAGGGAGTGCCGGGGACGGGGGGTAAGAGGCAGATGTCACTGGCATGTCAAAACGGCAAAGACTCACACCGCCGCCAATGATCACTTGAAATTCTCCATCCCATGTAGCCCAGGTGAAGGATGCCGGCTGCGTCGCCACCTTCACCAGCTGCAGCGGCTTTACTCCACCCTCCGTTTCCGTTCAGGGCAACCAGTGCAGCGACAACGACTCGCAGACACTCGCACTGCTTGGGTTGATGTGGCCTTGTTTTCGGCTAGAACTCGGCTAGTTCTGAGGTCTGCTTCCGTTGTTGCGTTGTTGATTGTGTTGCCACGTGCGAGGGCTCGGTTGCGCCCGGGCGTGCGCGAGGATTTGGTCGCAGAAGGGCCTTGCCGCTTTCTCTGGAGACTTGGACGCCTGCGGCCATCAGTGCGCTTTGTCCTCCACCGATTGCGCCAGCAAATGTGTGCAAGGCCGGTCTTCAGCTTGCAGACCTCACAGAATTTGGTTCCTCTGGTTCCGGAGGTGCTGCGACTTGCATCCGTTCCCCCCCAGCATCCATGCCAAGTTGCGGTCCTTGAGGCTGATGTAATTGCCAATTTGGGCATCCTGCCAGGCAAGGAGGGCTACAGCGATGGCTGCGCTAGCTGCTTTGGAGATATCTTCGGCTGCACCCGCCAGCACTGCAAGCTGAAGTGCATCGGTGGGGGGGGGACATGCAGACATGACACGTCAGTGACAGCTAGGGCAGGTTGTATCATTGAAAAGCTGCGTATGCAGATGCTGTAGAGAGGCTCATGTCAAACTTCCGCGGGAGGGGCTCGGACCAAAGCCCTATTTGCAAGACTGGGGCATTGGCAGTGTAGGGGTTCGCCTGTTTCTGCAAGCGGGGGGGATGAATGGAATCCCTGGAGGCGGGCAGACTGATGCGTGCAAGCAGTGCGTAGCAGCCTCAGTGACTCAGGAGGGACAGAGAAACTGTGATGCACAAAGGACCCTGGTGAATTGTGGGGTATCCAGATCTAGGATATTGTGGCTTTGTGGACATTCATTTGGAACAGGGATATCACAGGGAGTGCCGTGGAGGGGGGGTGAGAGGCAGATGTCACTGGCATGCTAAAACGGCAAAGACTCACACCCCCGCCAATGATCAATTGAAATTCTCCATCCCATGTAGCCCAGGTGAAGGATGCCGGCTGCGTCGCCACCTTCACCAGCTGCAGCGGCTTTACTCCACCCTCCGTTTCCGTTCAGGGCAACCAGTGCAGCGACAACGACTCGCAGACACTCGCACTGCTTGGGTTGATGTGGCCTTGTTTTCGGCTAGAACTCGGCTAGTTCTGAGGTCTGCTTCCGTTGTTGCGTTGTTGATTGTGTTGCCACGTGCGAGGGCTCGGTTGCGCCCGGGCGTGCGCGAGGATTTGGTCGCAGAAGGGCCTTGCCGCTTTCTCTGGAGACTTGGACGCCTGCGGCCATCAGTGCGCTTTGTCCTCCACCGATTGCGCCAGCAAATGTGTGCAAGGCCGGTCTTCAGCTTGCAGACCTCACAGAATTTGGTTCCTCTGGTTCCGGAGGTGCTGCGATTTGCATCCGTTCCCCCCCAGCATCCATGCCAAGTTGTGCTCCTTGAGGCTGATGCAATTGTCAATTTGGGCATCCTGCCAGGCAAGGAGGGCTACAGCGATGGCTGCGCTAGCTGCTTTGGAGATATCTTCGGCTGCACCCGCCAGCACTGCAAGCTGAAGTGCATCGGTGGGGGGGGGACATGCAGACATGACACGTCAGTGACAGCTAGGGCAGGTTGTATCATTGAAAAGCTGCGTATGCAGATGCTGTAGAGAGGCTCATGTCAAACTTCCGCGGGAGGGGCTCGGACCAAAGCCCTATTTGCAAGACTGGGGCATTGGCAGTGTAGGGGTTCGCCTGTTTCTGCAAGCGGGGGGGATGAATGGAATCCCTGGAGGCGGGCAGACTGATGCGTGCAAGCAGTGCGTAGCAGCCTCAGTGACTCAGGAGGGACAGAGAAACTGTGATGCACAAAGGACCCTGGTGAATTGTGGGGTATCCAGATCTAGGATATTGTGGCTTTGTGGACATTCATTTGGAACAGGGATATCACAGGGAGTGCCGTGGAGGGGGGGTGAGAGGCAGATGTCACTGGCATGTCAAAACGGCAAAGACTCACACCGCCGCCAATGATCACTTGAAATTCTCCATCCCATGTAGCCCAGGTGAAGGATGCCGGCTGCGTCGCCACCTTCACCAGCTGCAGCGGCTTTACTCCACCCTCCGTTTCCGTTCAGGGCAACCAGTGCAGCGACAACGACTCGCAGACACTCGCACTGCTTGGGTTGATGTGGCCTTGTTTTCGGCTAGAACTCGGCTAGTTCTGAGGTCTGCTTCCGTTGTTGCGTTGTTGATTGTGTTGCCACGTGCGAGGGCTCGGTTGCGCCCGGGCGTGCGCGAGGATTTGGTCGCAGAAGGGCCTTGCCGCTTTCTCTGGAGACTTGGACGCCTGCGGCCATCAGTGCGCTTTGTCCTCCACCGATTGCGCCAGCAAATGTGTGCAAGGCCGGTCTTCAGCTTGCAGACCTCACAGAATTTGGTTCCTCTGGTTCCGGGAGGTGCTGCGATTTGCATCCGTTCCCCCCCAGCATCCATGCCAAGTTGTGCTCCTTGAGGCTGATGCAATTGTCAATTTGGACATCCTGCCAGGCAAGGAGGGCTACAGCGATGGCTGCGCTAGCTGCTTTGGAGATATCTTCGGCTGCACCCGCCAGCACTGCAAGCTGAAGTGCATCGGTGGGGGGGGGACATGCAGACATGACACGTCAGTGACAGCTAGGGCAGGTTGTATCATTGAAAAGCTGCGTATGCAGATGCTGTAGAGAGGCTCATGTCAAACTTCCGCGGGAGGGGCTCGGACCAAAGCCCTATTTGCAAGACTGGGGCATTGGGGGTGTAGGGGTTCGGCTGGTTCTGCAAGAGGCGGGAATGAATGGAATCCCTGGAGGCGGGCAGACTGATGAGTGCAAGCAGTGCGTAGCAGCCTCAGTGACTCAGGAGGGACAGAGAAACTGTGATGCACAAAGGACCCTGGTGAATTGTGGGGTATTCAGATCTAGAATATTGTGGCTTTGTGGACATTAATTTGGAACAGGGATATCACAGGGAGTGCCGGGGACGGGGGGTAAGAGGCAGACGTCACTGGCATTCTAAAACGGCAAAGACTCACACCGCCGCCAATGATCACTTGAAATTCTCCATCCCATGTAGCCCAGGTGAAGGATGCCGGCTGCGTCGCCACCTTCACCAGCTGCAGCGGCTTTACTCCACCCTCCGTTTCCGTTCAGGGCAACCAGTGCAGCGACAACGACTCGCAGACACTCGCATTTTAGGTTAGAACGCGGCTAGATCTGAGGTCTGCTTCCGTTGTTGCGTTGTTGATTGTGTTGCCACGTGCGAGGGTTCGGTTGCGCCCGGGCGTGCGCGAGGATTTGGTCGCAGAAGGGCCTTGCCGCTTTTTCTGGAGACTTGGACGCCTGCGGCCATCAGTGCGCTTTGTCCTCCACCGATTGCGCCAGCAAATGTGTGCAAGGCCGGTCTTCAGCTTGCAGACCTCACAGAATTTGGTTCCTTCTGGTTCCGGAGGTGCTGCGATTTGCATCCGCTCCCCCCCAGCATCCATGCCAAGTTGCGGTCCTTGAGGCTGATGTAATTGCCAATTTGGGCATCCTGCCAGGCAAGGAGGGCTACAGCGATGGCTGCGCTAGCTGCTTTGGAGATATCTTCGGCTGCACCCGCCAGCACTGCAAGCTGAAGTGCATCGGTGGGGGGGGGTCATGCAGACATGACACGTCAGTGACAGCTAGGGCAGGTTGTATCATTGAAAAGCTGCGTATGCAGATGCTGTAGAGAGGCTCATGTCAAACTTCCGCGGGAGGGGCTCGGACCAAAGCCCTATTTGCAAGACTGGGGCATTGGCGGTGTAGGGGTTCGGCTGGTTCTGCAAGCGGGGGGGATGAATGGAATCCCTGGAGGCGGGCAGACTGATGCGTGCAAGCAGTGCGTAGCAGCCTCAGTGACTCAGGAGGGACAGAGAAACTGTGATGCACAAAGGACCCTGGTGAATTGTGGGGTATTCAGATCTAGAATATTGTGGCTTTGTGGACATTCATTTGGAACAGGGATATCACAGGGAGTGCCGGAGAGGGGGGTGAGGGGGCAGATGTCACTGGCATGTTAAAATCGGCAACGACTCACACCGCCGCCAATGATTGCTTGAAATTATCCATCCCCCTGTAGCCCAGGTGAAGGATGCCGGCTGCGTTGCCACCTTCACCAGCTGCAGCGGCTTTACTCCACCCTCCGTGGCCGTTCAGAGCAACCAGTGCAGCGACAACGACTCGCAGACACTCGCACTGCTTGGGTTGATGTGGCCTTGTTTTCGGCTAGAACTTGGCTAGATCTGCGGTCTGGTTCCGCCGTCGATTATTTTGCCATGTGCCGGGGATCGGTTGTGCCCGGGCGTGCGCGAGGATTTGGTCGCAGAAGGGCTCTGCCGCTTTCTCTGGAGACTTGGACGCCTGCGGCCATCAGTGCGCTTTGTCCTCCACCGATTGCGCCAGCAAATGTGTGCAAGGCCGGTCTTCAGCCCGGCATTCTTGGGCGGGTTTGGGGGGCTGGTTTGGGGCTTCGTTGCGCAAAGTTGGGCTTCTGTTTGGGCTGCTTAAACCAGCTGAGTTCTTTGCCAAAACTGAGCAGCATCCCTTTGCCTTTCATGTCCAAGGGTGCACGTGCACCTTGAGATCGGGTGGTGGTCATATGACTGCGGACATGGGAAATTGAATTCATTATTCCAAAGATGCCGTTTGAATGGGACGCATACCTTGCAGGGGAGAGCGGCCTGTAAGTGACAGCATTCGCGTGTTTCTTCAGTCGTGCTTGTCCAGCTGCACTGTGTCATGGAGCGCGGTCAGGCAAGGAGGGCTACAGCGATGGCTGCGCCAGCTGCTTCGGAGATGTCTTCGGCTGCACCCGCCAGCATTGCAAGCTGAAGTGCATCGGTGGGGGGCCTTGACACCATGGGGCTTGGTCAATAAGTTGAGGGATCATCAGTGGAAGGTAGCAGGTTAGTGCTCATGCCCATGCAGGTCCAACAGAGAGGCTGCCGGGGTTGATTCCTGTCTCGCAAAACAGGAATAACGGCGCTGCCATCGGTGTCCTTTTTGGTTGATTTGGCTGAAACATAGAGGGCCCTGGTTTACTTCGTGGTTCAATCAACTACCAGGGCCATCTATTTTCCCAAAAAGGACATTTATGGGCGCTGCCGCGTGTTTTTGTTAAACAGGTATGACAGGTCTTCGTGATATTGAGTTTCCCCCTGGAGGTGGGCAGACCCCAGCGTGCAAGCAGTGCGCAGCATCCTCAGAATGCATAGGCCAGCGGCTACGACAAGCTTGTGTGCGACCACCGTGTGTTTTCTATGTCGCTTGCAGTTGCACAGACTTACCGCCATGCTGTCAACCAGTCCACATATACCTGCTCAGGTGAAGGATGCAGGATGCGTAGCCAGCTTCACAGGCTGCAGCGGTTTCACGCCCCCTTCTTTGGTCTCAGCAACTTGCACTGGCAGTGCCTCGGCCTTATGAGTTTTTTGGTTTTGGCCTGAAGCACGGCTTGGTTTGACCTGTGGGTCCAAGCCGTGCCCGGGGACTCGCCTTCTGCCCCGCCCTTCAGCCCCTCTGCTTTCGGCGCAGGTGCCGATCCCACGCCCAATGCCCCTTGGCCTGAAAGGTTGCCAGACGGAGAGGGGAGGGAACTGATCACTGAAAAAAGGACGGGAGGAACCGGACTTAAAGCCAGACTGAATTTGAGTTGGTGGCATTGAGCTGTTTCAACCGTTCCCTCAAAACGGACGCGAGGAACGGGGAACAGGCGTAAGAGCCCAAGACCTTGGGCGGAGATCCAGTCATCAGCCACTTTCTCGTATTGGTCCAGGGTCCTTTAGCTGCATTCTTTGTACAGGGGGGCAACCCAAGGAGTTTGGCTCAAACAAGACGCTCCACTCCGGCCAAGCTCGGGTTACCTGGCTGTGGGTCAAAACCAATGGGATCCCATTTTGGGGTAGGTGCACAACCCATTTTAGTCCATTTTATTTCAGTGGTTGGATTGGGATGTTCACTGGGGGTACGGAATTTTGGATTTTGAGCCATGGCCAACTGAGCTGATGGGGCATGGCTTCAGGTGAGTTTGGTTAGAAATAGATGGCGCTGGTTTAGATGGGGATCTATTTTTCCAAAAGGCTACCATAGGCCACCATAGGCCAGCTTATGTTCCTGCCTTTTCGCCCCAAACTGGTTTTTTGTCAGTCTTGAGCTCTTGGCGCAAATCACAAAGGAAGACCTCGCTTTGCCTGAGGCTTGCTACCAGGGAAGCGCTCGGGTGCTGGCACTTAAGGAAGACGTCCACGCCGCTCGGACATGGGGCTGTGGGCTGGATCGCTTGGGTGGGTGGGGTAGGGGGGAAGGTGGGGTGGGTGGGGTGGGTGGGGTAGGTGGGGTAGGTGGTGGGGGGTGGTGGGGTAGGTGGTGTCACTGCTGATTCCTGGATGTTTCCTTCCAAGGGCCCTGCGAGTTGTTTCTTGCCATAGGCGCTTACACGTCGAAGTGACCCTGGTCGCAACGAAGGTGCACGCCCGTAAAACACGACTTCGGTTGCAGTCAAGAAAGTTCTTTGTCTAAGGAAGGGAGGGGCCCCAAAGCTTCTCCAGAATTAGCTCCCCTTTTTGTGCTCTTTTTTACGCTTTTTTTTGGGGGGGGGTGTCCCCTTTGTTGTTCCACTCACCAGGCGCAAAAAAAACATATATATATATATATATATATTATAATATATATATATATAAATGAATATATATATATAGAAATATACATATTAATTGTTTTTTGCTGGGGTCCCCTTCTTCCAAACTCGAAAACTGTGTCAAGCAGTCCACAAGCTGGCCGGGCATGTTTTAACGAGCGATCTCAAGCCACAAAGCCACGGATCGGCCACGGATCGTCCACTCTCCGGCCATGGCAATCCAAGTCGTCCCAGATCTTTGGGGAAGTTTGGGGCGGCCGGCCAAAGCCCACGGCTTGGCTCCAGGAAAAAAAACCTACGAATGAGTTATTTGTTGGGAGGGGGGAGGTTCAGTTTCGTTT